TGTAGCGTCATAGATCCACCACACACATGTACGGCCAGCTGACCCATTCACTGTAGAGGAGTGCGCATCCCCAGCTTCAGGATGGAGAATTTCAAATGATCCCAACAATCCGCTCAAGCTAAAGCTCACCCAATTTTCAAACTGTCGACTATATATACTCTATTCCCCATGATAGCCGCTTCTGCTCTGGGAGGCCCACATCAACCTATGAATCTGACTTGGGTCCTCCAAGATGTGATAGGAGGTAATATTTTGTTTCAGATCTCCCAAGTAGCACCTCTGGCTACTTGGTTCCCAACTCTGCACTCCCGTTTAGGTGCCTTCTTTGATTTCAATCCTAAGGGAGGCGCACATCCTCATGCTCTAACTAACTCTCCAGGCCCATACAGAAAACCAAGCTGGTTCTATGTTTGCCCAGGGCCCGGAATGCCAAAATACAAGTCCCAGAGAAGCAGGTGTGGAGAGGACAGCACTACTTATTGCGCTCAATGGGGCTGTGAGACAACGGAACACATATGGTGGACCCCTCAGGGAGAAGATCTTATTAAGGTAATGTGGGAGCAACCGATACCCACTAATCCTCATAAAAATGGTAGGCTCAATATTAGTTTTACTGAAGAAGGAAAGAGAGCCACCAGCTGGGAAGTGGGAAAAATTTGGGAAATAAGACTATGTGGGCTGGACTGAACCAGATCCAGGAACTTTATTCTCTATTCAACTAAGAATAAAAGTTCCTCAGTACCAGACCTGTTCAGTCCCCTTGGGACCAGGTGCTGTTTTAAAGGTCACCCCAGAATCAATCTTATCAACCACAGCAGCCCCTTCAAATAATGGTTATTCTGACAGCCATGGCCTTCCTATAGGTGACACTGACCTGCTTTGGTCATTAATGGTCCAGACTTACCAGGTGCTCAATGATATCAGGCCAGACCTCACCTCATCATGCTGATTATGTTATTCATCAAGGCCCCCATACTATGAGGGAATTGCATTCATAGGAAACACCACCCTAGCACCGGACCAAGGCAGCTGTAGGTGGGCTCAGCAGGAAGGAATCAGGCCTATGTTACAAAATGTTTCAGGACGAAGGCTATGTATAGGCAAGCCCCCTCATGAGTACACTGCCCTATGCAACCAGACTCTGCCAGTGCTGGCCAATAACTTGTACTTGCTACCACCAGATCAAGGATGATGGGCATGTACTTTGGGATTAACCCCATGTGTCCATTTCTTAATCAATCATCAGATTTTTGTGTTCTAGTACAACTAATCCCTAGAATTATTTATCACTCAGACCAGGATATAAATAGGGCCTGACCAGGCAAGGACCCCTTCACCGTAATTGCTAGGAAAGAGAAGCTGTTACTGCCATCACCCTATCCGTTCTTCTGGGATTGGGACTGGCAGGAGCAGGTACAGGAATTTCGGCCTTGACCTTACAAAGCCAAAACTACCATAGCCTTAGAGCTGCAACAGACATGGACATCCAGAACTTAGAAAAGTCTATTTCCCATCTACAAGAATCCCTAACCTCCTTGGCAGAAATGGTTCTGCAGAATAGGAGTGGCCTAGACCTGTTGTTCTTGCAGCAGGGAGGCCTCTGTGCTGCCCTTAAGGAAGAGTGTTGTTTTTATGTAGATCACTCTGGGGTCATCAAAGAATCCCTGGCCAAGGTTAGAGAAAGCCTGGATCGAAGAGAGAATGAATATAGGGCTAAACAAGGATGGTTTGAATCCTGGTTTAATAGCTCCCCTTGGTTGACCACTTTGATTTCAACCTTACTCGGACCCCTCCTCATTCTGATTATGCTCTTGACTTTTGGGCCTTGCATTTTAAATAAATTAGTAGCTTTTTTATGGGAGCTATACAGCTAATGGTAATGTGAACCCACTATCAGTCCCTCCAGAGTCTGGGTGATGAAGAACATGAGATGAGGGGCCCCCAAGGTACTAGTCAGAGCGGGGAATGAGAGACCTGAGTGAGTCCTTCTTGGATAAAACCTCCATGGGACTGACCCAGCCCTGGGCCCTGTTCCAAGAAAAACCACAATACTTGGAATGGACAGAGAACAGCTCCCCTGCCAACGGTCAATTAACCAGGGACAGGAAGGTACTAAAAGTCCAGGTATCTTTTCAGATTTCCTGAAGCCAGCAGTTTATGGTTTGGCACTGAGCTGCAACCAATCAGATGCTTGCCAGGCTGGAGACCCCCTACTCCCCTACTTGCTGAACTTGCTGAACTTAACCTATAAAAACCTTTGTCTCCCAAAGCAAAGGGTCTCACATTTGAGATCCGCTGAGTCGGTGACAGAGTGGCCCCAAGCTTAAGCTTGCAACAATAAAAAACCCTTGTGTGTTTGCATCGGTCGGCTCCTTGGTGGTCTTTGGGGTCTCGCAAACTGGGCACAACAATATAGGCAGGCAATGCATTTATACACATAAAATAAAAAATAATGAGCTGGAGCCAGGTGTAGTGAGGCCAGCTGGGGTTATAGGGAGACACTGTCTCAAAAAGACTGAAAAAAAAAAAAAAGAGTGAGCTGGGTGTGGTGGCGCATGCCTTTAATCCCAGCACTTGGGAGGCAGAGGCAGGTGGAGCTCTGTGAGTTCAAGGTCAGGCTGCTCTACATAGTGAGTTCTATGCCAGCTGGGGCTACAGAGACCCTGTCTCAAAAGACCAAAATAAATAAATAATGAAGAAAAAATTTTAAATTAGGAAAAAGGAAACCAAAATAAATATAGAATTGCACGTTAGGGTTAGGACCCAGGTTTGATTCTCAGCATCCATAAGATGGCTAACAACCATCTGCAACTCCAGTTTGAGAGGATCTGACACCCTCTTCTGACTTCTGCAGGCACTGTATGACACCACTTACATACATGCAGGCAATACACTCATACACATAACATAAAAAATAATGAAGAAAATTTTAAAAATTAAGAAAAGGAAACCCAAATAAATACAGATTGCAGGTTAGGAATATAAGTCAGTTGGTACCATGCTTACTTAACACATACAAGGCCCTGAGTCCAACAAACAAATATATTATATATATTTACCATATAGGCTGAAAGTAACAGAATGGTTACAGCTGTATTGTGTGAAGAACTCTGCAGAAGCTGGAGTGGCTACAGGAACAGAAAACAGGGAAACACTTCCCAATTCATTCTGTTAATCCACCACCTTGACACCAGATCGAGTCAAAGACATCACACAACAACAACAACAAAATCAAGGTCTTTTGTGAATACAGACTCAGGATTCAGCTGGTCTGCATTTCCCTTTGGAGGTTCTAAGGAGAATTCACTTTCAACTTTAGACCAGCACATTCCCTCCATTCCTGCTGACTCAGGGTAAGCAGCATGCTGACATAACTGCTGCTATCTCCCCTTCCCCGCCCCCCCTCTTTCTCTTAAAGCTTATGCATATGCATGTATGTCTGGGGGGTGGAGGGTAAGTGCATTGAGTGCAGTTGCCCTCAGAGGCCAGTGAGGGTGTCGGAATACCCTTGAAGCTGGAATTACATGTGGTTGTGAGTGGATCAATACGAGTGCTGAGAACTCAGGTCCTGTGCAAGAACAGTACAGGCTCTCAGACAGAGCAACCTTTTTTTTAGGCAAGGACTTACTTGGCCAAGGTGGCCTAGTACCCAGTACTCAGGAGGTAGTCTAGACTGGCGGCAGCTGCCTCCACACCCCCTCCTCCTCCCTCTCCCTCTCCCCCTCCTCCTCCCTCTCCCCCTCCTCTTCCTTCTTCTCCCTCCCCCTTCTTCTTTTTTGTCTTTTTGAGAGAGGGTCTCCCTGTAGCCCCAGATGGCCTTGTCCTCACAGAGATCCTCTTGCCTCTGCCTCCCCATTGCTGGGCTTCAACGCATAAGCTACCACACTCAGTCCAGGCTGGCCTCCCAACTTATGACAGACAATCCTTTGCTACCAGGTCTGGCTTCTCTATCTTCCACTTAAAAGGATCTTTCTGTTTACAATGGATCAGCTCCTTATTTTAAGGTTGAGTGATGGTCTGAAGGGTGAAGTCAGTCGTAGTTTAGCAGCACAGGTTGCTTAGCAAGGTGTGGCCCTGGGTTTAATCCCCAGCATGGAAAAAAATAAGTCAGTGTCAGTGGCATAAACATTCAGAAGGTGGAGTGAAGGGACTGTGAAATAGTGTTCCTATGGCTTTAAAAATATGCTTGATTAATTAAGCTGTAACCTTGAGTATGTACTCTGTAGAGCCCTGTTTCATGAGAAAGTTTATGCAAGAATGCTTGCTGAGGAGTTATCTCCGGAACGCCTGTAACTCCCCTAGCTTCTCAGGAGACACCTGCTCTCCCAAGAAGGCATACTATGGTGATAATGCTATCTTGCTCATGTTTTACTGAACTGCTATATTCTAGCCACTTTATTATTGTTTGTTGTTCTGTAAACATTCAGCTGTAGCTCTAATGAGCATAAAAGCAGAGCTGCCTGTGCTTTTGGCACTCGTGTGGTGTGTGTGTGTGTGTGTGTGTGTGTGTGGTCTTTTTCTCAGTTCTGTGGTAATTCATTCAGGTCCCATGGCTGCCCCACTGGTGGTCACAGTGGAGGTAGGCAGAAGGATCAAGAGTTCAAGGCATGTCTTGGCTACAAAGAAAGTCTGAGGTTAGTCTGAGCAATATGAGACCCTGTCTCAAAAAAACCCCAAACAAATGGAAAAACAAACAGACCCCAGTATGTATGAACCACTGTTCTTATAAGAAGCTGGTTCTAGTTTAGAGCAGCTGTTTTGGTTTATACTCTGTTGGTTTCACAGACAGGAGTATATGATAATGATTCTCTAGCTATCCATAGCCCCATACATTCATAAATCATAAATTTATGTACAAAAAGCAATCTAAACAGTCTATTAGCAAACACTATCAACATGTTTATAAGATGATTTGGTTTAGTCAGTCATTGCTTAGGATAATCTTGAGTTGAAGGTGGGAGTCACAAATTTGATGGTCTGCCTGCATGTATATGGCAGAGCCAGAAGAGGGCGTTAGAATCTCTGCAACTGGAGTTAGGGACAGTTGTGAGCAGCCGTGAGGGTGCTGGGAACCAAATCTGGGTCCCCTATAAGAGCAACAAGTGGTCTTAACTGCTGAGCATCTCTCCGGCCCCCATTCTTCTTCTCCTTTTTTAAATGAAGCAGGGTTTGGATTTAATAGAGATATTTTAATATAGGGTTAAATAAGAAGGTTAAGAGAAAAACGAAGCCTCAGAAGAAATTAAGACAAACCCAAGAGCATAGGTGTGGCTTCCCAAAGAAGAATCAGAACATACCCAAGTATACATATGGGCTCTCAAGGGAGAGCCTGATGGTCTTTCTTGTCTTTTTAATAACTGAAAGGATGGAATTATAGTCACAAAATTACCTAAACTAGGGAAAAATTATCCACACTAAGTGCTGAGTAAATTATATATTCATAATGCTTAAAGTTTATCAAGGATATTATAGAATATTACAGATTGGATAATAATTCCATAGTCCACACAGTACAAGCAAATAGCTTTATTTGAACAATTTTTTTTTTTTTGGTCATTTTGAGACAAGGTCCCCCTGTAGCCCCAGCTGACCTAGAACTCACTATGTAGACCAGGCTGGCCTCGAACTCACAGAGATCCACCTGCCTCTGCTGGGATTAAAGGCATTTGAACAATTTTTTTAACACATTAATTTGCAAGTCCACTAAATGAACAGGAACTATGAGATGTCGGGAATGGCTAGGTAGGTAAGTTTTTCAGTATCAGAAATCATTTTAGCTGGGCATGGTGGCACATGCCTTTAGTCCCAGCACTCGGGAGGCAGAGGCAGGCAGATCTCTGTGAGTTCAAGGCCAGCCTGGTCTCAATAGCAAGTTCCAGGCCAGCTGGGGCTACAGGGAGACCCTGTCTCCAAAAACACCAAACCGAAGAAAACAAAAAAAAAAAAAAAAAAGAAATCATTTTAGATTTTCTAATTATATTTTTAAGTGTTTGAACCTCTGAATAAATAAGAATTTTTTTAGGATTTTTAAAATTTTTATTTATGTATGTGTCTATGTGTGTACATGTGCATGCAAGTTGCCTGTTCCTAAGCCAGATGATGGTGTTGGATCCTGTGGGGCTGGAATTAAAAGCAGTTGTGAGCCATCTTACATGGGTGTTGGGAACTGGACTCCAAGCTTCTGTAACCACTGAACTATCTCTCTAGTCCCTTGTTTATTTTGAGATGAGGTTTCATGTAGCCCAGGTTGGCTTCCCACCTGCTATGTAGCTGAGGATGGCCTTGAACTCCTGATTTCCTGCCTCTGCTCCTGTGAAATACCATGCCTGGCTTTGTAGGGGATATGAAAGACCAAAATAATGATGCATTACAACTTCTGTCCTTTAGAGGCTAACAAATGCCTGGTTGAAGCAATATTTATAGCCATTAGATGGGGAATGATCTAATGAAATTAAGTTTTCCTGGCTTTAAGACTCAAACCAGGTAGACAATTCTCTTGAATCCATTACCTATCAACATTTCTTTGGTCACCAGTGATCTCAATAATTATATGATTTCTCTCAAAAAACTCCCAATCTGAAAATCTAATTAACCATGCCAACACATTTCCAGATTTGAAAGCTGATAGTATTCTGTTGTCTCTATGTTAATCTAGACATACTTGAGCATTTTAATATTTGTTTTACTGAACTCAGTTTTTGGATTATACTTTCTAAAGCTTTTACTCATGACTGTTTCCGCTTCCTGTGCATGCACTAGGATTACAGGTGGATTCTGGGGATACAAACTCTGGTCCTTGTGCATGTGCAGCAAGCACTTTACCTGCTAAGCCATCTCCTCAGCCCTCCAGGAGTAAAATTTTTGTTGTTCTTATTTTGTTTTGTTTGAGGCAGGGTCTCACTCTATAGCCCAGCTTGGCCTAGAATTCATTATGTCACTCAGGCTAGCCTTGAACTAGAAGCAATTGCCCTGCCTTAGCCTCATGAGTGCTAGGATTATAGGCGTGTCATTATGCCCTGATTAAATTATTCTTTTTTTTTTTTTTTTGGTGTTTTTGAGACAGGGTCTCCTTGAAGCACCAGCTGGCCTGGAACTCGCCATGTAGACCAGGTTGGCCTAGAGCCTAGATCTCATAGAGATCTACCTGCCTCTGCCTCCCAAGTGCTGGAATTAAAAGTGTATGCCACTGCACCTGGTGGTTTAAATTATTCCTACTCTCAGTTTTTACATCTTGAGCAAATAATAGTTAATTGTTCATGTAGCATATTTAATAGATAGAATATATATAAACTTGAACTTTTTTATGGTCTACATAAAGCATCATATTAGTATCCTGACCATGACTACTGCTGCCATAGTCATTCTTATGTAGGTAACATTACCGAGCCTTACCACCATCATAGTCACCAGAACTGATCTCTACTTTGAGTGAGATTTTCAATAGATCATCAGATCATCATGAGCAAGCCTATAAAGCGGGTGTATCATTGCACAATTTACAGGTAAGGACATTGAATAAGGGAACTGAATGATTAGGAATTTTCCCAAGGTTACACAGTTGGTAAAAGATGAAGCTGAGACTTAAGCACAAGCAATTGTGACTGACCTGTTATTAGGGGGCATCCATGGAAGAGCAGTATACTTATCTGAGGACAGGCAGTGAGGACAGCTTCTATAGCATCATCAGTCAGATTTCCACAATATCCCATATTAATCTCCTACATGGGAAAAAAAAGAAAAGGAAATCAAAAGAAATCAACAATAACGACATGAAAAAGTTTAGGAATACTATTCTACAAAAAAGAAACAAATATCGACTTAAGGAAAAAAACTATATAGAAAGGGTAGTTGGGTGTTCTTACCCCTGAAATACCCCTTAGCACTTGGGATATGGAGGCAAAAGGATCAGAGTTCAAGGCCAGCCTCAGCTGCATAGCAAATTCAAAGACAGGCTGCATGAAACTTGGTCTCAAAAATCAAACAAACTCTGTCTGTCTGTCTCTCCCCCATCCCCCCTTCCCTTCTCTCCTTCCCTCCTGCCTTCTGTCACAGGGTGATATGGCAGGGAAGACCTCATTAGATGCCAAGACATGGATATTGGAACATCTCACCTTACCAAACTGGAAGAAATAAATTTCTTTTCTTGAAAAGGACAAAATGCAACAACCAACCAATCAATCAAACAAACAGAAAAGAAAATAGGGGCCTGTGAGATGGGTCAGTAGGTAACCGTACTTTCCATGCAAGTCTAATGACCTGAGTTCAATCCCCAGAACCCAAGTACAGGTGGAGAGAACTGACTCTGCAAAGCTGTACTCTGACCTCCACACATGATGTGATTCTCTCTCTCTCTCTCTCTCCTCTCTCTCTTCTCTCTCTCTTTCTGTGTGTATGTGAGAGAGCAAAAGAGAGAATAAAAAATAAATAAATAAAAAAAGAAAACAGAATGAAAATCTGGGTATGGTGGTGACCTGCTATAATTCTAGGACTGGGAAAGTTGGAGCAGGACTGCTACAAGTTCAAGGCCAGCCTGGGCTACATAAAGAATACCAGGCCACCCTGGGCTAAACAGTGAGAACCTTTCTCAAAAAACAAAATAAAAATTTTAAATGCCAGAGGATAAAAGGAAAAGAGCCAATGAGATGGCTCAGCAAGCAAACAGCCTTGCCTGCTATGCGAGGCTGGAGACCCATGTTTGATCCCCAGAGCCCATGGAAAGATGGAAGGAGAGACTGTCTTCTGACCTCCAGATGTGTGATGTAGTACTGCTCCCCACAATAATAATAAACATTTTTTCTAAGGATAATATAAAAGTTAGCATTTTTATAGACATTTTAAAATTACCTCTAATTTTTTGGCACACGGTCCACTAACAAGTCCAACCACACCATTGTCAGATACCTAAGCAAAGGGAAAAAGAAACATATCCTATGATGAAGAGGAGGGAATTTTCTAAAATGCATATAACCATTACATTAATTACCACCCGTTTAGCAATTTTAGTCATACAAACCTCCTACTTTTGTTACTTAAAATGACTAAAAGGAATATGCAAATTATATTATAATTATCAACAAATTAAATCACAAAATGGGCAACAATTTCAACAACAAAAGGACTAAGTATGTTCTTCTAATTAGTCATGGGTAATAATTAGGACAGCACTAATCTATACATTGCAAGTTGTTTTCTTTGTTTGAGATAGGGTCTCCCTGTAGCCCCAGCTGGCCTGGAACTGCCCTCGATCTCAGAGACCTACCTGCATTTGGGATTAAAGGCATGACATGCCACCACACCCAGCCATATGTTTCAAATTTATATCTCATTTACCTGTGTAGCTGAGAAGTCAACACACTGCAAAAATGGGCAGTTTTTCCCCAAGGCGTGTAAGGACACATCAGTAATACTTAAGCAGCCACCCAAATCAATGATCTTCAGCAGCCGGCAATTGAGTGCAAGAGCAAGGACACCCTCGTCAGAGACACGGCCACATCCTTTCAAAGAAACTTCGTGAAGGTCTGAACAGGATGAAGCCACAACTTTTATTCCTAGAGGAAAACATAGTTACTATCAACAAACTACATAACCTAACATTCTTTGACAGTTAGGTAACCTCTGGGGATGCATGTTAAACACATACAGCTTGACAAATAGATTCCTGACTTCACTGCACTAAACACTTCACTAAAAATGCAGTAAGATACCATTTCAGTCCAATGGTCAGAGTTTCCTTGCATTACCTTAATACCCTGTGTAATACTCCTACCAATGTAGTGACTGGATGCAATGATTTAAGTTACTTTTGTCTTCTATTTGTAAAAGTTGTTTTTGCTTTGGAAATACTTTTCTGGGAAATTTGAATCTATGTATCCTAGGTCACTCATATTTGGTTTAAAATAAAACTATTTTCTTATTTCCTTCAAAGCAAGGTTATTATTTTGCATATAAAGTAGGTAAGAGCTCCACCACTGAGTTATATATAGCCACACATACGAGAAGTATGACTGAGACCGATTCTCATTTTAGCAAACACTGGTCAATCATGTCTAGAGACAAGGTGTTGAGGCAAGAAAGGTAAATTTATGGAGGTGGTGGTTTTGTCAGTGGTGAGGGCTGGAGAAGGAGGTCTTAGAGCTAGAAAGACCAGAGGATGCCCTCTATTTGGTGTTTCCAGGTTCCTGCCATGGGCAAAGAACTGAGACAAAGGAAGAAATCAGGAGGAAGTTTTAGAGGTAAAGGACAGATTCAGGAACGAGTATGGGCCTCTTCAGAGCATCAAGACTTACAGGTTTTTCTTGGTAGGCTTTATGTTAAATCTAGGGGGCCACATACATTTTTTCTTTATCTTTTTGAGACAGGGTCTCCCTGTAGCCACAGCTGTCCTAGAACTCACTATGTAGGCCAGGCTGGCCTTGAACTCACAGAGATCCCCCTGCCTCTGCCTCCCGAGTGCTGTTATTAAAGGCGTGCATCACCATACCAGGCCATAAGTTACTTTTTTTACTAGGATGGTTTGACAAGGAATATTCCACTCATCATGTGAGGATGGGGGTTAAGTCAGATGTGATGTGAATTTACATTATTTTCTCTTAACACAATGGCCATGTGATGGTTATCGATTATGTGTAAACTGCGTAGTTCATGGCGTTATTATTATTTTTTTGGTGTTTTTGAGACAGGATCTCCCTGTAGTCCCAGCTGTCCTGGAACTCATTTTACATTTCTTTTTTTTCCTGTAAGTTCTTCCTTTGACCCTTGCTACTCCCTGATCAGTTCCTACTTCAGGGGAGATAACTCTTGTCACAAAGAATAAAGGTCTTTTATGGGAGGGAAAGGAAGAGAAAGCCCCTGTTGTAGGGTGTCTGCCAGTGTACACCTCCGTTTCCTCTTTCCTCTGTCCAGAACATCACAATGGACTTTGACCTCCTGTAGCTAGTCTGTTTTATATAATTATTTATATATTCATTCATTTTTCATTCTCCCCTTCCCCTTTTTTAAAATTATTTTTATTTTATGCATATGCGTGTACTGCCTGCATGTAGGTAAGTGCACCTGTGTCACGCAATGCCCTCGGAGGTCAGAAGAGGCGAAGAGGCTGTCGGATCCCCTGGGACTGTAGTTATGGACAGTTGTTAGCTGCTATGTGGGTGTTGGGATTCAAACCTGGGTCTTCTGAAAAAACAACCAGTGTTCTTAACCACTGAGCCATCTCTCCAGCCCCTCTCCCCTTCTCTTTTTAAAACAGGGCCTCACTATGTAGCCCATGCCTCAAAAAGAAAAAAAAAAAAGAAAGAGGGATGGAAAAATCAGGTGGTCTGTTAAGATTAAGGTGGAGCCAAGCTCTTCCCTCACTGAAGCTGGAGAAACCATTTTGAAAAAAATTATGGGTGGAGCTGAATTTGGGATACAATTCCAGGGATGGAGTTCCAGCAGATAGTTCCAGAAGACAGAGGGTTCCAAGAGATCTCTAGGGGAATGGGTGTTCAAGCCCACTCTTAAAAACTAAAGAATTAGGGGCTGGAGAGACGGCTCAGTGGTTAAGAGGGCTGACTGCTCTTGCAGAGGACCCAGGTTCAATTCCCAGCACCCATATGGTGGCTATGAACTGTCCTTAACTCTAGTTCTAGGGGAATCTGAAGCCCTCTTCTGAGCTCTGCGGCACTACACAACATGGGTGCACTCACATACATGCAGGCAATATACTCATACACATAAAATAAAAATAATAAATAAAATATTTAAAAGAAAACCTAAAGAATTAGGCTTTTATTTGTTCAGATAACCATGTCAGCTTAGTAGCACTGCATCATAGTGCCCTATGTGAGGAAGACTCTACTCTGCATTCAGAAAGTCCCAAGGAAAAAGGGAACTACAGTCTGTCTGTGGTTATTCACGTAACTGTGTGACAACAAAAGCAAGGTTTTCCATGATAGCTCATGACAGAGCACCCACAGGCATGGGACTGGAAAAGGCCTGAGGAAAAAGGGACTGTCCGGATGTTCATAGGGCTTACCCTGTACTATGACAGAAAGACAGGCTGCTACAAGTTAAAGGCCAGCCTGGGCTACATAAAGAGTATCAGGCCAGCCTGGGCTAAACAGTAAGACCCTTTCTCAAAAAACAAAATAAAAATTTAAAATGCTACAAGATAAAAGGCCAATGAGATGATTCAGATCTTGTCAGTGAGATTAGGCAGCTAAAAAAAACCTGGCAAGGCCACTCCTCATGTTGTGCCTGAGGGAAAGAACAAGGGAAATTTGGATGGGGAAGCAAGATACCCTCCCTTGCACCTGTTTGACCTAGAGCTCTGATTTTCTGCATTCAAGCCTAGACTGAAGTTTAACCAGAGAATAAAAAAGGCCTCTAATGGAATACATCATCATAGGAGAGATGGTAGGGTGTTTAGTTTGCCTCCAGGTACTGGCACAAGTTAACTACTGTGGGACTAAGCCTTCAAACATCCTGTCACCTCTAATATGGCCAGGGAGAAACTCACATTAGGCAATAGCAAAGGCGGATACTTTTTTTTGTGTGTGTGTGCAATATTTTATTATTTTTATGTGTATGAGTGTACTGCCTGCATGTGAGTGCACCCCTGTCGTGCAATGCCTCAGAACTCAGAAGGCTTCTGATTCCCCTGGAACTGGAGTTAAGAACGGTTCAAAGCTGCCATGTGGGTGCTGGGTATCAAACCCGGGTCCTCTGCAAAAGCAGTCAGTGCTCTTAACTGTGCTGAGCCATCTCTCCAGGCCCAAGGCAGATACTTTTATTAACTTGATTCTCCTTGATTATGAGCGCTAACTGCCATGTACTCATGAACTTAGAAAATTCAGAGGTATCAAAGAGTGACATTCCAAGATCAAGTGTTCAGACTTTTGTCACTTCCCATTCCCTATGCATGATCTAGTAGATTCAAAATTTTATTTATTTGTATTTTCTGTGTATGAGTGTTTTGCCTGCATGTAGGTAGGTTGTGCAATGCCCAAGGGTGTCAGATGCCCTGGAACTGGAGTTACAGAAGGTTGTTAGCTGCCATGTGGGTGCTAGAAATTGAACCCAGGTCCTCTGTAAGAGCAGTCAGTCCTCTTAACCGCTGAGCTCTCTCTCCAGTCCTATAGATTCAATTTTAAAAGATGTTTGTTAGTAAATTGTCCTGTGTTGCTTTGAACTCAATGGAGAAGCTGACTATGGAGATGGGATTTGGCCTTCCTACTTCAGATCCAGGGTATTTAAATTTCAAAATGTCTTCAGAAAGCTCATGAGATAGGGCTGGTTTCCAGACTAAGTGACCCAGAGGAAGACACAAACAACCCTATATTAAAAAACAGTATTCCCCTGAGAACAGCTAGTACAATATTACCAACAGAAGTTATTATTCTAATGAGGTCTACTCCTTAGGCTCCAGAAGGGGAAACACCCTTAAGCTTGCCACTCCCTAAAAACAGTAAGAGGCAGGCTACCTCCTGGACTAACCTTGAAATAATGGAGAATTTCCTTATCTTTAGTGGAAGTAAAAATTTAAAAATCTGGGACTGGAGAGATGGCTCAGCAGTTAGGAGCACTGATGCTCTTGTAGAGGAGCTGAGTTTGATTCTCAGCATCCATATGGTGGCTAACAACCATCCATAACTCCAGTTCCAGGGGATCTGATGCCTTCTTATCTCTGAGGGCATTGCACAACATGGGTGCACTTACATACATGCAGGCAATGTACTCATACACATAAAAAAATAATATTTTTAGAAAAATTTAAAATTCCCCAGAACCTTAGGGGAAACTCCCATAAGCTTGTTACTCCCTAAAAACAGTAAGAGGCAAGTCAACTCCCTGCTTAGCCTGAAGGTAATAATGAATTTACTATCACTTTAGAAGTCCTAATCTTTAAAACTCCCCACAAATTTAGGGGTGCTATCCTTAAGCTTGCCATGCCAGCTCCCTACTATTGCCTGGAATAAAGCCACCTTGCCTTTTCTCTCTCCCCCTAACTACCTCCTCCCTTCCCAGTTTAAGTGCCCCTATTTTCCCCTTGATAATACATATCTGTCTCCTATTATCCCTTCTTCTTGAATTCCTTCTTCCCCTTTACTCCCATGGTTCCTTGCATGTCATTCCCTTCTCCCTTCCCAGTTGAATACTCCCATTTCCCCCATGGTAGCATCTGTTTCCTACTATCCCCTTCTTTTGGGCTTTCTTTCCCTTTATCTCCATGCTTCGTTTCCATCTCTCTGGCTCCTGCTGTTACATCAGGATGTAACATATAAGGAATTGGTGCTACGATCCACAAAGGATAGAGAATATATATCTCTTGCTTTACTGAGTCTGTTACTTCACTTAATGTAAGTTTCTAGTTCCATCCATTTACCTGCAAACTCCATAATTTCATCTTTCCTTACCGCTGAGTAGAACTCCATTGTGCAAATGCACCACATTTTCATTATCCATTCATCAACTGAGGGACATTTAGGTTGTTTCCATTTCTTAGCTATTGTAAAAAGAGCAGCAACAAACATGGATATACAGGTATCTCTACAGTAGGATGAATCCTTTGGGTATATGCCAAGGAATGGTATAACTGGGTCATATGGTAGATTCATTTTTAGTTTGAAACAGGGTCTCCCTGTATCCCAGCTGGCCTGGAGCTCACTATGTAGACCACATTGTCCTTGAACTCATAGAGATCTGCCTCATAGAGATCTCTCATAGAGAGCTGGCCTGGAGCTCACTATGTAGACCACATTGTCCTTGAACTCATAGAGCTCACTATGTAGACCACATTGTCCTTGAACTCATAGAGATCTACCTGTGAAAAACAGGGCTTTGAAAATTAAGTTTTCTTTTCTTTTTCTTTTTTTTTTGAGACAGGGCCTTCTGTTAGTCCCAGCTGGTATGAACTTGTGATGTAGACCAGGCTGGCCTTGGTCTCACAAGATCCACCTGCCTCTGGCTCCTGAGTGCTGAGATTAATGTCATGTGCCACCACACCCAGCTAAAGTCTCAATCTTAAAAAGCAAACAATTGTTTTGTGTGTGACAGTCTCACTATATTCCAGGCTGACCTTGAACTGGCGACGTAGCTAGGGCTGGACTTGAACTCTTGATTCTTTGGCCTCCACCTCCCTACTACAGGGATTATAGGCTTTTGTTATCATACATGGCTAACAACAAAAACCTTACCTTTGACCAAATATTACTGGTTATGCCTTCTCAGACCAGGCAGAATATTTAAAATGTAGAGGTATGCAGTCATTTCAAGTAAGATTTGTTCATTTTATGTGTATGAATATTTTGCCTGGATGTATGTATGTGCACCATATGACTGCCTGGTGTTGTTGGAGGCCAGAGGAGGACATCAGGTCCCCTGGAACTGGAGTTAGAGGCAGTTGTGAGCTGCCATATGGTACCAAACTAGGGTCCTCTGAAAGAGCATTTAGAATTCTTAACCACTGAGCCACCTTTCTAGCCCTGTTTCTTAACTGGTCATCAACAAGAATTCTAATTAGGATTACTTCTTAATTTGAATTTTTTTTCTGAGTTTTTCCTACTAATAATATAATTCCTATTTCTTTGAATCTTCGTATTTTCTTGCTATGTAGCCCCTGGCTGGTTTGGAACTCACTATGTAGACCAGGTTGGTCTCAAATTTGCAATGGTCCTCATGCTTTTCCCTGCCCAAGTGCTGGAATTACAGGTGCATGCCACCATGCCTGGCTCCTAGTCTTTCTTTTAAAAGTGAGCTTCATTAGACATTTTCACATTGTGCCTAACTCATATTGGCCCCTAACCTCTCCCCTCCCTCATCTTGCTGGTCCTCTCATACTCTTTCTGACATATTCTTTTTCCTTCATTGATCCAAAATTGAATCAGGTGCTAAATATTAACCTAATAAAACATACCGTCTGAAGTTATGCAATCTCTATTTTCTCTTGAGGAGCTTAAATTTAGTGCCTTTAGTTTTTTGCAGTTACACAGGTACTGGAGAGCAGTGTCTGAGACATTACAGCTCCGCAGATCTAGTCTTTGGACTTCAGGATGTAGAACCTGTGAAAAACAGGGCTTTGAAAATTAAGTTTTCTTTTCTTTTTCTTTTTTTAAAATTCTCCTCTGAGCCATCTACCAGCTGCCAAATTAAGTTTTCCATAAACATTTATTCCATAGTCAGTGTTGTGGTGTGTAACAGGCAAGTAGTTGGCAGTGATACAGCAAAGAATGTAGAGTCGTATCCATGTGGAGATGGGTAGGACAGGAGAAACTCAAGTTAGTTTCCAGCTGGAGCTGAATTATTGAACTAGTTGGTTCAGAGACAGGATCCCTGGACCTGAAGGGCACAGCCACTGCAGTGATCATCTCCCCTCGAAGCCCCAACTCTACTAGAAAGTATGCTGTGTGCTTCTCAGCAAGTATTGTTTCTAAGGAAAAAAAAAACCTCCTCCCCTGAAACACCCCCAGAATCTGCTCAGATATCAGGCAGTCTGTACCCACAGAATCAATCCTTTCAGGATGCACCTCTTTCCTTTGCTGTTACAAAGGAAAAACCTAAACAGTTCCTTTGGCTTCACTTGCTCTTAGTTGAGCAAAAACTTGCCAATTTTGGAGATCACATAGTTGAGGAACATCAGTTTCCCACTAGTTTTGAGGACAATACCTGTGCCATGTGGGTTATAGCAGCAGTTGCCTAGATCACCCTGGAGGGACTTGACCACTTTTTCCACCTTACAAATGTCTGATGGGTGAGTGAAATGGAATACAACGCTTGGCGTCTGTCTCGATATTGTGCCTGTCTCTTCTGTTGCCTTAACCTTTGGGTTAGATCTTACTCAGCTCTATATGTGGACATGCTAAACATTTGAAAGGTGTTTTGTCCTAAACTATAATGCAAGGTTACTTTGACAGAGCAGCTTAGTCTTTCCCCACACCCATTTAAGGCTAAAGATGCTTATCACCCACCATGACCAGAAATCCTAGGTCATAAAAAGAGAGGGCACCTAAGTTTTGGGAAGATCTTTGCCTATGTCTAGAAAAGATATGAACATCTCCCCCCTGATCAGGCCCTCTCTCCGTCATTGTTCCTGTCCTGTATCTGTAACCCACAGGCCCCTTTCAGGTAAGAAGCTGATTGTCAGCAAAGCTCCCACTTCTCCATCTTTCAGTCACTTCATAAAGGCTTTCTGTGTCCCCAACATTTGCTTCTCAAGACACTGGTAATTACAAGCAAGAAACCTGACTATAGGGCACTAGTATTACTTCTTTACAACACTTTCTTTTGGAGTCTCACTAAGTATCTCTGGCTAGCCTGGAATGTACTATGTAGACCAGGCTGGCCCAGAACTCACTGAGATCCACCTGTCTCCCTCCAGAGTGCTGATATTAAAGGTGTGTGCTACCATACTTAGCTACACTTTTTTCGTTAATATCTTTTTAAAAAAAGTTTGTTATTAATATTATTAGTGTATGTATGTGTGTGTGTGTGTATCCCCCCACAGTCATCTTGTCGACAATTATTTTTGGTTTTCCTTCTTGTCTTTTTTTTGAGACAGGGTCTCTTGTAGCCCCAGCTGTCCTGGAACTTACCAGGCTGGCCTCGAACTCACAGAAATCCGCCTGCCTCTGCCTCCCAAGTGCTGGAATTAAAGGTGTGTGCCACCATGCCTGACTTTTTTGGTTTTTAAAGATAGAGTCTCATGTAGCTCAGGCTGGCCTCAAACTAATTCCCAAAGCATAGTATAATGTAAAGTCACAGTGTTAGCCACATTCGGGAGTGCTATCATTGAAGCTTGTTTCCTTTTGATGACAGGCTTTGGGAAAATATAAGGAAAAGTCAGAGTAATCAGCAGTTCTAGTCTGCATACAGTGGTGATGGTATGCAACCCTAAGAGTATTTAAAAGCAAGTAGTGTAACAACTACTAGCTATCAAGGATAGAGAGACGGCTTAGTGGGAAAGTGTTTGCTGTGCAAGCATAAGGATATGAATTCAGATCCCCAGGACCCACATGGCGACACATTAAATAAAAAATTTAAAAACTGTATCAAATCATTATATTAATGTTATTTAATATGTAAATTGTATTGCTATACACATAGTTTAATATAGTAAATAAATAAAATAATATGGGAAAGTATTTTAAGCTGGAACAAGAAAACACGCGCCCACGTGGTGGCTAACAGCCGTCCTTAACTCCAGTTCCAGGGATCTGACGCCCTCTTCTGTCCTCTTCGGACACTGCATGACACGGGGGCACTTACATACATGCAGGTAATACATTCATACACATAAAATAAAAATAATAAATAAAATTTTTTTTTATTTTAAAGTGCTTGCTGTGCAAGTATAACGAGTTAATAAACCATTCAGAAGCTTGGCAGGCATGGCAGATACCTGCAATCCCAGGCAGAACTCTACAGGCAGAGACAGAGGATCCCTGTGGCAAGCTTGCTAGCTGGTCTAGATGGAATTAGGGAGCTCCGTGTTTAAAGAGACCCTGCCTCAATAATAAAGTGTAGAATGACCAAGGAAGACACCTGATGTCAATTTCGGGCCTCCAAAGACATGTGCATGAGCACAAACCCCCCAAGACACATCCAAAGAACAGCAACAAAATATGAACTGCACAGCAACATTAGTTAAGTACAAGTTCTCCCTTCCTGAGCACTCATCAGTCCCAATTTACAGGAGAAGGTCATATCTGAAAGGATGTTTCTCATAAATGTTGACTATAACAAGAAAGATGTATACTAAAGAAAAACTGTTATTATGCTTATTCATGGTCTTTCTATTCCAATTCTGCTCTTAGATCAGGAATCAGTAATCCAGTTTGTTTTGAAATAGCTGTGTTCTCCATATGCCTTGTATTGACCACTGGGCACATAACCCTCTCTACATCCCAATGGTGGCAAGGTAAAGGAAGCCTGGCCTCAGTTTGCACCAGCTCTGAGCTGATGAAGGGAGTGAGGGCACTGAGAGGGGCTCAAATGACAGCCTCTAAATCTTGTCAGTTTACATTAGAAGTGAAAGGATGAACAGAAATTATGAAATGTTGAGACAGCATCCAGCCATGATAGCTCATACCTGTGATCCCAGCACTCTCAGAGCTAAGCAAGAGGATCACTGTGAGTTAGGGGCTAGCCTGGGCTGCAGAGTGTGATCCTACAACAACAAAAGAAAAAGTATTCATAACTTTCATCTCAGGCTAGAACATGATCTGTTAGCCAGGGCAGCCATAACAAAGTAGCACCAACAGGTGGCTTAAGCAGCAGAAATTAACTGCCTTATAGTAGTGGCGGCAGGAGGCTTGAAATCATGGCTAGTGGGGTAGGTTCTATTGAGGGCTCTGAGAGAAGCTGGTTCATGCATCTCTCAGCTTCTGGTCCGGGTTGGCAGGCAATCTCTAGGGTAATCTGGAGGGGCACCTCTAATTTCCATCTCCATTGTCTCAGAGTGTTCTACAGAGGACCATCTTCCGTGGCCTTCTTCTAGAAGAACACCAGCCAGACTATATTAGGGGCCCACCCTACTCCTGTGTGAGCTCACCAGAACTAACTATATCTGCAAAGTCCCTATTTCAAAATAAGGTCATATTCTTTTGTGATCCCATGCTAAAGCTGGTGGGAGAGGAGAAATTCTAAATTCTAAAGACAACTCGCAGGCTGGTGATGTAGCTCAGTTGGTAGAGTGCTTGCCTAACATGTACAAAGTCCTAGGTTCACCCCCAACACTGCATAAACCAGGTATAGTGGCACATATTTTCAATACCAGCGCTCAGTAGATAAAGACAGATGAATCAGGTTATCTAGTTTGAGGCCAGGTAAGCTACATGAAACCCTGTTGGGAAAAAACAAACAGAAAAGGAATAAGACAAAGAATAAAATACAATACAATAGAAAATACCAATGTATATGTATATAATATTATAAACAGAAATGTGGTTTGTTCTGAAATCATGATGAAACATACTTCGCTTTGTCTTGATCAAAAGTTTAAGACTTTTTGAAGGTTTGGATAAAAAGAATGCTGGTGTTTTGCCTGCCTATATTTAAGTACAGTCCTGCATGCTATGTCTGTGGAGGCCAGAAGAGTGTATCAGATTCCCTGTAACTGGAGTTGTAGATGGTTGTGAACCTTCACGTGGGTGCTGGGAACTGAACTCAGGTCCTCTGCAAGAGTAACCAGTGCTCTTAACTGCTGAATCATTTCTCTTCTCCAGCCCCCTAAAAGGTTTTCCTGTAGATTTACATGTGGGGAGAGGAAAGGGAAGAAAGGGGAGGAAAAGAAGAGAGGCAGAGAGAGGAGAGTAGGGCAGTAGTGCATCTCCAAGGCTGGAGGCTGGCTTCTCCAGAGTCCTGTCTCAGAGACTAATAATATTACTATATACTCTTGTTCCAAAAAATCTGAAACCATATCTAAATAGTAAAATAAACTTGTTCTATAATTATATACTCTTACCTCACTTATATTGAAATCTGTAATCCGGCCCCGCAGGCTCATTATTTTAATCAGTCTATCTTTGATGTTGGAAGGCAGATACTTAATGTCCGAGATATATCTGGACATATTGACTACTAGGCACCAAAGACATCTGAAATATAAATACAGTATGGTGAGTTATACTGCACCTGCACTAGTAGCTAATGCTTGTCAACGCTAGGTGAATGCAGCACCTAGTCCTTTCACAGTATAGCTTTTGTTTTCATGAATATTTACAAATTTAGTTTGGCAAGAATCATAATTATAATTTATGTAAAGTTATATATGAGATGATGATTTTCTGACCCATTTTTCTCTGGGAATTGAATTCAGGTCTTCTGCAAGAGCAGTCAGTGCTCTTACCATTGAGCCATCTCTCCAGCCCCCTTAAATTTTGTTTTTAAAACAAGAGTCTCGTGTAGCCTAGACTTACCTCCAGCTCACTATGTAGGAGAAGATGACCTGGAACTCCTAGTCTACCTGCCTTACCTCCACAATTTTAGGATTACAGGTGTGTACCACCATGCCTGGCTTTATCCCCATACATTCCAAGTGCTTGCTTTGTCAGCACATCCACTAAAACTAGGATGACACAGAGAAGATTAGCGTGGCCCCTGTACAAAGATGACACACAAATTCTTGAAGCATTACATATTTTTTAAAAAAAATACACTTTAAAGCCAGGCATGTGGTGCACGCCTTTAATCCCAGCACTCGGGAGCCAGAATCTCTGAGTTCAAGGCCAGCCTGGTCTACATAGTGAGTTCCAGGACAGCTAGGGCTACAGGGAGACCCTGTCTCAAAAAGACCAAAACCTTTCCCAAAAAAACCAAAAAAAAAAAAAAAAAAACCAAAAAAAAAACACTTTAAGGTGGCCACGATAGTACATGCCTATAATTTCAGCACTTTGAAGGTGGAGGCAGAGGGATCAGGAGTTCAAAACCATCCTTATAGTGAGTTAGAGGCCAGCCTGAGCTACATGAGATCCTGTCTCAGAAAACCAAAAACTGCCAGGCATAGGTGGCACATGGTGGCACATGCCTGTAATTCCAGTACTTGGGAGGCAGAGGCAGGTAGGTCTCTGTGAATTTGAGACTAGGCTGGTCTGGTTTACATATCTAGTTCCAGGCCAGCCAGGGCTATATAGTGAGAATCTGTCTTAAAAAGAAAACAAGACAACGCCAAAACTAAAGGAAAAAAAACCAACCCAACCAACCAACCAAAAAACACCAAAACAATCAACCAACCAAACAACAAAAAAAATTCTAAAGAACCAAAAAGGGTACTTTCCTAAATTCGTCTCTAATTCTTGAAACAAAATTAGCCCCACTACTCCTTGTGCTGGATAGCTTTAGTGTCAACTTGACACACCTGGGTTGAGGGAGCCTCAATCGGATAATTGTCTCTATTGGACTGGCCTGTGGCCATGTCTGAAGGGCATCTTCTTGATGAG